GCAAACCAAAAGCCGTCAAATGTTGATGGCCTCATGTGTCTCAGAATGATACCTGAAACAAAAAAGAAAAAGGAAAATGTATAGTGAATTTTGGGACACCCTATGTCTGTGTGTGTGTGTGTGATATATATATATATATCGAGAGAGAGAGAGAGCGTCATTTTACCTTGAGGAGACCCTTTCCGCAGACACTTTATCAAATGGAGAACTCTTTCGGATAGGAAAACATAATCAATGAAAAATTTGTAAAAAAAAAATGAGGAGGGGAAATTGGAACACGATTAAAATAGATTTTAATTGTAAACAAATCGAGGACTAAAAACAAAATAAAAGGTTCGAAAAAGAGTATAAAATAGAAAAAAAAGTGTCATTGATTATTTTGTCCTATGCGACAACGTTCTACTTTTGATAAAGTGTTGGCCAAACAAAAGGGTTTCCTCATGGTAAAATGACGTCCTCTCTATTTAAGTCTATTTTCTTACGTGGGTATACGTCTATATATATATATATATATATATATATATATATATATATATATATATATATATATTAAAAATGGACAAAGTCCGACAATTTTTTTTAAAGACATTTTTATGTGTAACGTTCTTTTTATAGATACAAGTATTTAAGTAAATGCTCTGTTTATAATAAATAGTATTAAATAACATTTACCGGCCTGAATGTCCGAGAAATTTTCATAGAAAATATTCGTCCTTTGACAGGCTTCGAACCTGCATCCTATACGGAACCTTCATTTATGCTGACGTGCCTTGTCGGACTTTGTCCATTTCTTAATATATGACGTAATTTGTTTACATTTGATACGCCATGAGCAGTTATGAATGTACGAGATTCATGAAAGATTGAAGTTTATAAGCAGTAAATTCAACCTTGCCAACCTTGTGGCCGAGCGGTCAAGGCACGTCTGCCTAAATGACGGTTCCGTATAGGATGCAGGTTCGAATCCTGTCAAAGGACGAATATTTTCTATGAAAATTTCTCGGACATTCAGGCCGGTAAATGTTATTTAATACTGTTTATTATAAACAGAGCATTTACTTAAATACTTGTATCTATAAAAAAAAAGAACGTTAAACATAAAAATGTCTTTAATATATATATATATATATATATATATATATATATATATATTACTCTAAATGTTATTGTAGTGAATGAATGTGTTCAAAAGTTCTCGACTACCTTAACCAGGTATTGAACTCGCACTCTTTGGGTCCTGTCACTGGATATAACCAACGCGTTTATCCATTGAATCTTAATCCACTGTGCCTTGAGGATATCTGTGTATTAATTTCTGGGTATTATAAAGTCAATGTCTCAGCTACTATTTTTACCAGTGCTCATATTGTAATTTTTGTTGTTATCATCCATGTTTTTACCAGAGCTCATATTGCAACTTTTGTTGTTATTATTACTTTTCTGTAAGGCAGTGGAGAACATTCAGAGGGAAATTAACAGGAGATAACTGATAACTGAAATCCATTAAACATGGGAAGTGGAACTAGAACAGTCTACCCCAGTGAGCGAAATAAAGGGTTCACTTCGACATTCCAACCACCTGAAGAAGGCCGGAGTGTACAACGAGACGTTGTGATAAATATGGCGACAAAGATTAGGACAATAGTCCGAATAATGTAAATAATGCAATTTTTAGGCATGCAAAAATTCAATAACATTTGCGTTTCTTGTTCACTTCTATGACAAATGCTACCGACTCTCAACTTCCCCAATCTCTATTATCTTAATTTGTGACGTCGTCCCCCGGTCGCAGCGCCGACTGTGACATTCTATCCTGATCTACCACGGCGCCAGTTGTGACGTCCCCAAACAGCACCAATTGTGACGTCGTCGCCGCGGCGCCAGCTGTTCGCTCCTCGCTGCTCCGTTCGGGTGTCGCTGCTCCAAACCTGACGTCCGCCTGTCGCGTCAGTCGTGTTGTCTCGTCCTGTAACGACCAACTGGCTTGGTATCGGTCGCGGCACCCAAATGTGACGTTCTAACCTTTTGGTGATTCGGGTGGGAATCTGGTTAGATTTGATATCAGCCTGGTCGTTCCCAACTCGCTTCCAACGCCTGGTTACCAAGGTAACTGCATTGATCTCTAGTCTGCCTACCCACGTTGTGAATTGATCTTAGACGAGATCAGTGGTTGGGGCCGTAATGCAAACTGAGTTCAACGGGGGTGATACTACACAAATATGCATAAAAGAAAATAAAATGAAAACTCAAAAAGTTCAAAGTATCAAAGAAAACGGTAACAAACTTTATGTCTAGTTGTTCGATACATAAAACTGCATTTATCTCCCGACCCGTTCTGTGGATTGTGACACGTCGTTTTGCGTTAGGCAAGTTTTTAACGCTTCAAGTTGTCTGCTCTCTAAGAAATTGGTGTTTCGGTGTGTCTTTGGACGAAAGTCGAAAAAAACTTATTTCGGTGGTCTGGTTCTAAGTCGCTCTTCAAAATAATTGTTCTTGGGTTGAAGAGGAGTCCGGAATTTTGCGTGAATCTTGGTCAGCTATCTGCGAGGCGGTTTCAACTGGAGGCTGACTCTGGGAATTCAACTCTGGAAACTCGAGCCCGAACTCTCTGATTTCTGCCTGTTGGGGCCTCGCTTTTATTGACGCCGACCAAAACCGGGGTGGGTCTGTCGGCGTCGGGGGGTTGCCCGATAATTCTAAATACATATCCACCTCTTTTTTATTTCTGGTTAGGGATTTTCCACTTTTTCCATTTTGGGAACCTTTCCTCACTCCCCACTTTCTCACCATACTTCTGGGGCGTGAACTTCCTCCCCACTTCTTCGTAGCAGCTTCTCATACTTATACTCTGGATGAGGCGATGACAGCCTTCTTCGGGCGTCACGTGATCACCACTCGGCCAATGAGGTCTCAGTCGGGTATCTTTCCTCCTCCTTCGTGCCTCACGTGATCACCACTTAACAAATGATGTTTTAGTCGGGCGTGAACGAATCGGCGGCTTTGTTTCGGGAAAAAAATATCTTGCTTAACTAAAAACAAAATTATCTCTTCTCTTTCCCTTTTCTTCCGCTTTAATCTCCGTTATCACTTCTCCAGCCGCAAACGGACAATATGACAACTCTTGTTCCACACGTGGTTTTTGTCAGGTATTTTATCGCTAATTATCAAAATGGGTGGTCTTCTTAACACGGCCTCAAAAAGAAATATCTCTAAAATTTCAGTCAGTCTGTCGCCTCAAGGAAGGAGAAAAAAACACCTCTGGTCCCCATTCATTTTCCTTCGGTACATATTTCTGATAACATAATTTTATTATCGCAGGCCAAAGTTGTTTCGTCGAAAAAAAATCGGTCAGCGGACACGGCTTGTGTGGTTTTTAATTTTTCATATCTACCCAAAGTCCTGTAGTTACACCTGTGTTTTGTCAATTATCAAAATCAACGTTTCCAATTGAATTTTTCCCTGGCCAGCTGTTTTGTTTACGTACTCCTAGATAACACAGCCGTTATCAAAACACATCTGTTTCTTTCTTTCTTTCCCTTTCTTCTTACCCAGAATTTCCCTGTCATTGTAATGACACCCTTTCGCCATGGTTACTTATCAATATATTCATTGTCTCTTAGCCGTGTGTGTGTGTTCTGCTGATCACCCACGATTCGTCTCGCCTTTCTTTCTGCCTTCTTTTCTTTCTTTTCCTTTCTCTGCCTCGTAAATGGTGCCACAATTTGTTCAACATATCCATATAAACTGTGTCACTTAGTGTGTGACCTACCTCGAGTTGCTCTTGGGTCTTGTATAGGGTAAACATCATTGTAAATATAGTATACTGAGGAAACTATCACCCGAAAATTATATGGGTTATAAAACATTGTTATCAGTCATCAGGCCAAAAAAAAATTACTTATATTGGTAACTTAAGGATTAAATAACATTCTGGCAAAATGAATCTTGAGAAATTATTTAAACAGTTCACTAATATACATCTGATCTACTAGTTACGCGTCTTTCGTATCTCTAGGGCATCATCAACTACTAAAAAAATTATTCAACTAAGCCATCTGTTGTTATATCGATATCGACTGGTGGTAACGACACTTAACGCCACCAGCGATACTTGCTCTTTACTCGGACGTCCTTATTTTGCTGCCCTGTCTCGGTCATTTTACCCAGCTGTTAAAAATAATTCTCCATTTCGTGGATTGATATTTGTAAGTCTGCCTAGAACGTGGCTTTCAAGGCAGACTTACACAGATTCATTGTTTCATTGTTGGAATGCAATACGCACCGTTAGATATAAGGAAAATTCTCTATGATTTTTAAATATTGCTGGAACTGCACCGATCACACCTGTGAAAGTATTTTAGCGCTATTTGTGGCCGTCTTGTTAATTACTGACAATCCCGCCAAATTAAAGTGTCTACTCGTAATCTTGTCCGGATTAAAAGTGATACTAGACCAGAAGTTAACGGAACATCGGTAGTGAACGTGTAAGTATTTCTCCGCTAAAAGTTTCTGCGTTTTACTTTAAAGCAAGCTAATGTTCATTAAGAGCTCGGTAATTTCAACTCAGCGACTCTCAGTTGCTAAACCAGAGAAATTTTTTAGCGAACAGTGCTGTCCTTGAAATATCTGAAAGACTAGGAACAGTTTATGCTATAGCTATATAACTAATTATTTTAGAACAAGACTAGAGGTTTATCCCTTGTTTCCTGTTTAGAGCTGGGTTTCCGGTTCCTTTGAAAGTCTACTTCCCCGCTAAACTTCTAACGTCTCCGACTTAACTCTGAAATGTCATTCACTAATTAAATCTTGACCCCTTTCAAGTCTAGAGTTTGCCTTTATAACCACACAGTAACTCTCTACATTGAGTGCTTTGGTGCCTTGCATTGAGTAAACATTAGTTAAAAAAAATAATGATTTCTTAGGTAAATTGAAGCTTAGACATATATGCGAGTACCATTTGAATATGTAATTTTAAAAGATAGGCTTCACCACATGAGGGCATACGGCCATATCACGATGACACTACTGGTTCTCGTACGATCACGGAAGTTAAGCAATGTCGAACCTGGTCAGTACTTAGTTTACTTCTTGGGAATACCAGGTGCTGTAAACTTGGATGTGGGGTGGTTTAATGGATAATGGCTCGAATTTTTTAAATGGAATGCAGAGTTCCAATTGCAGTTGTGTTTTTGTTATATTCCCCTGACGCGCAAAGGACGTTGGAAAAGGTATGCATCCACCACCTCTTAACCGGGCTAATGGTTAATTAGTATGACTTGTGTCACTAAATCAATATCTTTTATATAAATTCTTACAATATAAAATATATTGGTCTTTAAATAAACTGCAGAGTGTTGATAAGCCGTAGAAAAAAAATAGATCAACCAAATTCTTCAAATGAGCATTGTATTTGGTATTTAAAATCAATTTTGAATAAAGTCTTAGATTTATGATTTTTAATTATTTTCTCGTTCTTTACTTGTGACAGTTATTCGTTATCTAAAAAAGTTAACCTAGAATTGCCGTACAACAATGTACATCTTCACCAGGGTAATAGTTATTTCTGTACTGTACTGTTAGATATGAAATGGTATTACAGAGGATTGCTAAGAACTGATATTTAACTATACTATAGCTAAATAAATGCATAGAATCATAGCGTGATGGTGTTGATGCATCAATCACGCTCGGTGTCCCTGCGTTCGATGTTCTACATAGGTGGACAGATACCAAAGATGGCGCAGTTCAATAAATGCCTGCTGTAACGCTTGAAACAGATTCCAGTAGCGGAAGCCGACGTTCTTATCTCCTGTGGATTGACCCTTATCTCTCTAGTAAATGGAAGGAGATTATTAGTAATCGATGGGCATAACATTTTTTCTAATACCGGTCTGCAGTGTGGGCAACTGTCATTGGTCAAGAAATCAAAGCGTTGACAGCCAATCAGAATGGGTTCCTGGCCTTGTCACACTTCGCTGCCTCGCCATCTCATCGTGTCTGACATGATTGATGGAGTTCGGCTGACAATCCTTATCGCATTACTGGGCATCGACACGACCATTTCATTTGTTAAGGGACGTGCGATAATTGACATTAACATGGCGTCCAGAGATTCTTTTGTCCAGTACAATCATCCCCGTCTTCAGTTCTTCATCTGCTATAGACTGATTGCTGTGGTGGGAGATCGTTGTATCATTTCGGTATAGCTCGCCTCTATGTAACTTTCATGTGTCAGTTATTAACAAGATAATACCTCTTTGTAGTCTCTTTTTAAAATATTTTTTCTACTTTGACAGTATGATTTATTGTCGCTGGGACCAAATATAAAATTTGCAGTAAGGTCAAGAGGAAAAAAAGAAAGAAAAGAGGATTATATTTAAAATAAAAAAATCGGTAGGAAAAAAAACTGTAGAAAAGACAAAATGCTATGAAGAATAGAATGAATTTTAGAAAGAAAAGAAGTCACTGGAAAGAAAAAAGAATTAAAATGCAAGAATTTACTTACATAAATCAACGTAAGGAAATCATATTTGAGCAAAAGCATAGAGAAAAGAGAAAAATGAAAGAAAGAAAGAGGAAAGAAAAAAAAACATATATAAAATTATGTGACTCCCGTTAATTCGTCTGTCTGTTACACCCTCTAAAATAGCCATAAAATGACTGATTGAAATCAAATTGCAAACAGGTAAGGGGATATAAAGTATATTTGGTTTTACTAAGGTGTGTATCTTAGTACAATACATTTTCATTATTTTTTGGGGGGGGTAAAGATTACGAGTTATACAACATACACTCTCTATTTTAAAAATAATTTAATGATTAAAATAAAAAAATGTTTATTTAATAAAAATGCCTTTTTTCGCGTATCTTTCCTTTACGTTTTTATATTTCATAAATTGGATGGCTAAATTTTACGAAGCGTAGAGTTTGTAAAAAATCAACAAAAATGTCAGACCAACTTCAACAATACTAAATACTGTGAGGTGAAAGAAAAAGCACAAAAAGAAAGTGAACACGGTAAAAAGAGAAAGGAGAAAGAAGAAAAAAAAAAACATTAAAATAAGGAAAAAGATATAAAGAATGTGAAGTAAGATAGAATTAGAATTTAAACATAAAAGGAGGAGGTGGTTTGTAGGACAACAGCAGCGAAAGAAAGAAAGAAAAAGAAGAAAGAAAATGATAAAAGAAAGAGAAAAAAGAAAGAAAAAGGAAGAGAAAAGAAAGAAAGAAAAAGAAGAAAGAAAATGATAAAAGAAAGAGAAAAAAGAAAAAAAAGGAAGAGAAAAGAAAGAAAGAAAAAGAAGAAAGAAAATGATAAAAGAAAGAGAAAAAAGAAAGAAAAAGGAAGAGAAAAGAAAGAAAGAAAAAGAAGAAAGAAAATGATAAAAGAAAGAGAAAAAAGAAAAAAAGGAAGAGAAAAGAAAGAAAGAAAAAGAAGAAAGAAAATGATAAAAGAAAGAGAAAAAAGAAAGAAAAAGGAAGCGAAAAGAAAGAAAGAAAAAGAAGAGGAATAAAGGACGAAGGAATAAAAAAAAACTATACGATAAAAGAATGAAAGCTAAGCTAAAAGTATGTTCTTCATGTTGCTTCATTTATCTTTTTATACCAGACACTCGTGGGAGACTTAATAAAATATCGGTTAATAATTTTTAATATAAATAACAAATATGACTGTCAAAACATGAGTGAAATAATAATTCAAATTCAACGGCGTAAATAAAGAACAGAAACATTTTATAAGCATTTTAATAAATTCAACTTGAAAGCTATCAGAATTAATAACTTGTCTAATTTGTGCAATTTCCAATAAAATTATTGCAGAAAATTTATTGAATCTTTCATTCATTTTCATGCTTAGATAGACACATACACAGATATACAAATATATATATATTATATAAATATATAGCAAATTTAACAGTCTTAAAATGTCGTAATGGATTGGTGCCGACTGCTTTGAACCAATTAAATGTAGACTTAGTTTTAAGATCATAACGGTAACCACTGACTTGATCAGTAATTTTTTCTTACGATTCCGAAGAAAACTCTGATGAGTAAGCACTGACTTAACTAAATTTTGAATTAAAATTCGAGGAATTTTCAGTATTTACACTTTACTTTTGACAATGAAGGATTTAGAAAAAAAATGAATTACTCAGGAATAAAGATGAGCATGAATTGCCAAAGATGGAGACTCTATGCGGTATTTACATTATTCTTCTTATTTTTGTAACTGTTTACTGATTTCCTTTCATGATAGTTGAATAAAATTATGAAATATAATGCATATAAATTATCACTTGTCGAGAATAAAATTTGTATATACACTTAATTGTCTACGAATCTCCGTCTACAAATCACTGGAATATAAATGTCAATCATGAAAGATTAATTATTGTCATTTGTTATTTGTCTACCAAAATTAAACTGAAAATAAACCGAGAAGAAAATTCCATATTTATTTCGGAGAGCAAGACATAAATATTTCAAATTTCAGATCATCATTGATTTAAGCACATTCGTCATAGTAAAATGGTGTTGAAAATTAATATTTCATGTTAATTTTTTTTAGTATTATTATTAGTAGCAGAGATAGTGACGAATATGAACTACGAACAAGAATTATTGTCTATAATGTTAACAGACTTATCTCCCCTGAAATACTGCCGCCAAATAGAAAAATAGTAGTGGCTTTCTTAATGAGAGAAAAGAAAGTGAAAGAGTATAGCGAATATAACAACCAACATGAGAATAATAATCCGAATACAAACCCATAGAAAAAATTATATATATATATATATATATATATATATATATATATATATTGTTGATTATGGATGGACTCTCCCGTCGTTTTAGATGTATGAGTATATTTCAGTTCAGTTTGTAATCCTGTATCTGTCCCCATCACCTTAACTCTCTCACCAGTGGACGTGTTCCTTGGGAGGAATAGCAAAGAAGGAACACAGAACTGAACTGCTGACTATTCACAGAGAAGATCTGTTTAGAGTGATGAAGGCTTGTGTAGAACCAGGCTCACTTATTAGAAGTGCTGATAACAAGGAGTTAGTGCAAATATTTGCCGCGAACACAGCGAATAACACCCCTCAGGTTTTATTTTCACGGAGTCATACCTCTCCGGGACTACCAGTGCACAGAAGAGTGCAGCACCTTTCGATGGTAATTTCACGTGACTTAGCCCACCTGCTGAAGCGGATTACAGGTTTTGGCGTGTGGGGATTTAGGAGATGGAATGAGAAAAATTTCTTATATATATGTGTGTGTGTGTGTGTGTGTGTGTGTGTGAGAGAAATTATAACCGATTTATTATTACTATTTATTGAGGTATGTATATACAGGAAACGTCAGAATATATATATATATATATATATATATATATATATATATATATATATAATGGAATTTCGACGTATGAGATTTCGACAATTGTCTCCTTAGTTTTGATGTTACTCGTGCATTTTATAAACCCATAAAATAAAATTATATATATATATATATATATATATATGTGTGTGTGTGTGTGTGTGTGTGTGTGTGTGTGTGTGTGTGTGTTTAGGCAGCAAATTCTCTTTTAGGCATATCTGACTGAATAAATTAAAAACATTATGTCTGCTAATATTTAATAAAAATCCGTTTATACTCACGAATGACCTTCCATCTAATTGATGTTAAAGAATGAGAAAAATGTGCTATAGCTGTTTACATTTCTTTTCCTTTCATTTCCCAAGTACTTTCGATCTTCTCCGAAGATCATCTTCAGGGGCGCAAGTGGTACAAAGATATATGTCTCCTTAGTTTTGATGTTACTCATCTGGTTGGTTGGTGCTTTTGCCTCCTTTCATGGCATATTAATCCTGAGAGTGACTTGCAGTGAAGACCACAAAGCACGCATCTATAAGCGTTAGAATCCCGAATGGCAATTATGGTTTCTGCTGCTTTTTTTCCAGCTCGTGCCTCACGAAGATGGTTGGTGGCTGTGGCTCTAGGTTGTTCGATCCCTGATATATATATATATATATATATATATATATATATATATATATATATATATATATATATATATGAGTTCACATTCAGTAGAATTTGTACAGCTTCCTCGTGCAGCCAATATATGACTTAATATGTATGGGGAAAGAGGTATTCATCAGCCTCTGTAGATTGAAGTGAAAATGCTGGACAAGAAGAATACTGAATAGTTAGAAGTCTGAAAGAATCAGTTCATATGCTCGGCTCGTAGGATCTCCTTAGTAGGCCCAACGTAGAAATAAAGACAATATGGGAACCGTTAATAAATAAAGAAAGATAGAAAAATGACAAACGTTCTGAAACCGCACCAGCAATCTGGGAAAACATGATGGGAAGCAGCAGCAACACTCAAAAGTGCAACAGCAGTCAGAACAGGAGAGACGGAAACAGCAGCAGCAGTGGCAACTCCAATCAGCAGTCAGATTATGTTTAAGATTCCAAGTTCACAACAGTAAATTGCCCTATTGGACAATGGCCTAATGGATTCAAGTGATAGTTTGTGTAATTTGAGACATAGCAATTGTGAGTTCAGTCCCTGGGAAACTCGGTGTGTACTTGCGTGCAATAACAGAACAGTATTAAATAAAAATTTGAAATAGACGATATCCCTAGACAATGTGCAGTGGAACGAGAACAGCCTACCTTCGTAGATTAAATATAGGGTTCAGATCGATATACACTCGAGGAAGGCCTTGATGTAGGTGGTTGATGGATACAACGGCCAAAACAGTCGGAATATAGTCTAAATAATTTAATTTACTTGTATATTTTTTTAAGCATTTCATTCCTAGCAAGGCGTTAGTGCCACTAACACGCAAGGGGTTACAGAGATTGAAAGTAAAAGTAAAGCGGTGTGTCTGATGAAAGAATAAAGAGAAAGACGGTGATCAAGATAAAGGCATCAGAAGATATCGATTGATATTACATGTTATTATTTGAAGATTATAGTTATCAGGGAAGCAAGTAAGAGGAAGATCAAAAGAAGCTGTTGGAGTAGAAGTGGTGGTTTCGACAGTGGACGTGTGGGACCGTGACGTCGATCCAATTGATATGAAAATATTTGTAGAATAGACAGAGGTATCCACATCACGTCTGTGAGAAAATGACTGGAGTAGAGATGCTAGGTCAGGAACTATCACCTTGCGTATCCCTCTTTGGATTTTGTCGAGAACCTCGAGATGAACATCGGGGGTACCATACCATATATGGCAACAGTATTCAATGCAAGGACAGATTATACATTTGCAGATTTGAAGGATGGACTCAGACGAGAAAAACACTATGGCGCGACACAGCGAACAAGTTTTCCTTGCATTAGATGTAGCTATTGTTTCAATACAGTTGCTCCACTTCAGATCAGTGGAAAAAGGGGAAACCAAGAAAATGCATAGAGACGCTTACGTGGAGTTGAGCATCAGTCATGCTGATAAGATGCAGGGAGGTTTCTCTATCGTGGGAAATGAGAGCAATTTTTTTTGGAGGTATTAAAGTTTACAAGACATTACCTGCCCCAGACACCATAGAATGGATGTCCTTTTCGAGACCAATGACCAGGATAACTTTGTCAGCAATGCCGGATTTACTATTGAGACAGGTGTACATGGTAGTGTAGTCAGTGTGGATGCCTACTTGAGGACTGATGACATCAGGAAGATCGTTAATGAAGATCAGAAACAGTGTAGGACCCAGGATAGAGCCTTGGGGAACACCAGCGTTTGTATGAAATGAACTGGAGGAGAACCTATTTACGACAACCTTCATTTCACGGTTTGACAGGAATTATAAATTTAAATCAACTAATCGTCCTGTTATATAGTATCCCTGGAGCTTACGAAGAAGGTCGGCATCAAACGCCTTACAGATATCTAGAGCCACAGCTCAAGCTTCGCCGTTATTATCAAGAGTTTGGTAAACAAATTCAGTTATGGGTAAGTACGACAGCGGTAGGTCGGTCAAAGCGGAATCTATATTGTGCGTCAGAGAGTAGATCATGGGAGTTAAGATGCTTAGCCACTTCAGCATTGATTGAAGCGTCGAAGATATTGCCCAAGAATAGTAGGAGACTGATAGGGCGGTATGTAGATGGGACAGAAGGGTCTCTAGAGTTCTTAAAATTAGGGACAATACATGGGGACTTCTAACAGGCTGGAAAGCAAGAGTCAGCGCGTTTATAGTTATATAGTTTGGAGAGAACTGTCGACCAATACAGGAGCACATTACTTTAAGACTACGGCTTGTATCCCGTCACCCCCACTTACTTTTTGACATTCTAATTTAGAGATCATGTTCAATTCCATCGCTGGGGTTATTCTCATCTCACTCAATAGAGCCTCACTTCTAGAAAAAAATTCAAGTGTGACTACTCCAGATGAGTCGAGTGTTGAGTTGGATGTGATTTTCCGAGCAAAACATTCAGCTTTATCAGCTTTGGAAGTCAGGACATTGAATTGATCGAATAGACGAGAGATTTGTGTATTTCCTGTTGTTCAGTACATACTTGGTGAGCCGCCAATAATCTTTAGAGCCAAACTTGCGAGATGCATTA